CAAATATTGCAAAAATGAACCATAAAAAAGAGCAATAACAAAATTAGCGGGTTCGTACTCGTACATATGTATGTATATGTATGTATGTATGATAAACGGGCAGCATAGCAAAGAGGTCAAAACAACAACAACAACAGTCGTTGAAGGCGAACGCCTTGTCCTGATTGCTAAAAATAGCATTTTGTTGTAGAGTAGCACAAAATTAGAAGCACACACACACACACACACACACATATCGGCACAGATTCTGCGACGCACACACAGACACACATTCGTATGTTTCGGGTGACTGCGAAGCAGCACATACGCCGTCGCCACGCATTTAAAGAACTCATTCAATTCGATGTCCCAAAAAGAAAGCGCCAGGAGTGGAAGACCAAGCAGAATCTTGCCACAAAATAGTAGGAGTCGACAGCAACGTAAGCCGCAGCAACAGCCGCAGCAGCGACTGTGAAAACGAAGTGAGCAACCGAACCCAACGTACGAGCAGCAGCCAAGTGAGTGTGTGTGTGAGTGTTCACGAGCGGAAGCACAACTTCGCGGGCCGGAAGTAAACGCGAAAATTGCACGAAATAAGAACACGGAAGTTTCTAGTTGTATCGGCGCGGCTCAAGTGGAAGGAGCAAACGAAGTGTTGCGGAGTTTAGCGTTTTGTGGTTAGTGTGCGAAAAGCTGAAAAGCAACAACAACAACAACAACAAATGTGTGAAATGCAATATAGCAAACAAAACAAATAAAAGTTATTAATTAGCTCTTTTGTAATGCAAAAGCGTTAAGTATAAATAGATACATTCTGAAAGTGAATTTTTGCAAACCCATTTGCAGAAAGAAAACGGCGAAAGAAAAAAGTGAAAATAGGCAGTGAAGGCAACGAATATAAAAGGCTGCTGTAATTGGTGGGCTAAACAAAAAAAGGAATAAGTAACAGCCAAAGGAAGCTGAGCAACTGTATAGCGCAAAGAGTTAGCGCAAAAACGTATCTAAATAAATGTGTTACAATAACAAAAGTGTAAATAGTGTGAAAAACATATGTACCAACGAAAAATATGTGCATAAATAATTCATATACATACATACTTACGCATTCACATCTCTGCTGATCAAAGTTAAGTGTTCATATTTTTATACATATATCACGAATACATATTTGTATAGAAAATACATTTTCAAGTACTTATGTATGTCGTATGTATATACAGAAATACAGTGCATAATTATGAAATAAGGTCGTGCGTAAATTAACGCTGTTTTCATACTTCATAATTGAGTGTTTTTACTTATCAAATGTATGTAAATATACTCCAACTGAATTAAGTCAAAACAGATATTGAAATTAAAAAATAAAAATTTTAACACTAAATCAGGAAAGAGAAGCAAAAGTGTTCTATAATCTGAACATAAAAATTATAATCTCGGAAATCGCACAATTAAACTTCGCATAAAGGTGAGTGATTTAAATCCATACAGTTGTGTATTATATGAGTGTACTTGGCGCGTTTGCAAAAAAACAACAACAAAAAAAAAAAACAATTTATTTGACCTTTGACCTCGATTAAATTTTTTTTTTGCTGGTGTGGAGTTTATGGGGCTTTTTAAAATTTCATTTACAATAGCATATCTACCCAACATTCTTAGTAAATTTCAGCTCAATGCGAATTATTGTAAGCTTGCCCCTATTTGTTGAGCTAACTTGATTGGGCCAAAATAATTTGTATCAAAAGAATTTTCCGTCATACACGTACATAGCTTACATTTAAAATTTGAACGAAATCGGTTAATAAATACGATTTTTATAAATAGCTCTACTCCAGCACCACCTAGCGAGTTTTCTAGTAGCATATAATAGGACCATATACGTATGTTTAGGCCTTCATGCAAAACCAAATGATTTAAAGGTCGAACCACCCTAATGTGAAAGTGCATTGACTGAGAGGCCGAAATACGTGAGTGCGAAGAGCTTGAAATGCTGGCCGACAGGAAGAATGCCCGAAAATTTTACCAGAGAGTTAGGCGACTTATGAAAGGTTTAAAGACCGGGGCGTACTCCTGTAAGAACAATAATGGCGACCTAGTAACTGATGTCCAGAGCGTACCTAAATTATGGAGGGAACACTTTTCCGCCCTACTAAATGGAAGCAGCACGGAAAGTTGTGGAGAAGAAGAACCCGAGCCCGCAGTCGTTGATGACGGAGTCGACGTTCCACCGCCTGACTATGACGAGGTACGTATAGCAATAACGCGGCTGAAAAACAACAAAGCTGCTGGAGCTGACAGCCTGCCAGCTGAGCTATTCAAGTACGGCGGCGAGGAGTTGATAAGGTGCATGCATCAACTCTTGTGCAGAATATGGTCAGATGAACGCATGCCCGACGACTGGAATTTAAGTGTGCTCTGCCCAATCCACAAGAAAGGTGACCCCGCCATTCGCGCCAACTACCGCGGTATAAGCCTTCTAAGCATAGGTTACAAGGTCTTATCGAGCGTATTGTGTGAAAGACTTAAGCCCACCGTCAATGAACTGATTGGGCCTTATCAGTGTGGCTTTAGACCTGGCAAATCCACCATAGACCAGGTATTCACAATACGCCAAATCTTGGAAAAGACCCACGAGAAAAGGATCGGCACTCATCACCTATTTGTCGATTTTAAAGCCGCTTTTGACAGCACTAAAAGGAGTTGCCTATACGCCGCTATGTCTGAATTTGGCATCCCCTCAAAACTCATACGGCTGTGTAAAATGACGTTGAGCAATGCCACCAGCTCCGTCAGAATTGGGAAAGACCTCTCCGAGCCGTTCGCCACAAAACGGGGTTTCAGACAGGGCGACTCCCTTTCATGTGACTTCTTTAATCTGATGTTGGACAAGATAATAAGAGCTGCACAACTGAACCGCTCAGGAACAATTTACTACAAGAGCGTGCAATTGCTG